GGATTTCTATCTTCTCCTGCCTTAATTTTCCTCTCCCTCCCTCATCTACTTCCTCCTTGTTCTTTTTTTCTCAATACCTCTTCCTCTCCAGTGCCTCTGCTTTGGTCCTGTTGGGGTACCCACAGGCAGTGCTTAGCTTGGCTGGTGGCATTAAGACCTAAAGTGCTGCTAACCACATTGAACTTGGTCCCGTGGTCACAATCCATTCCAACACTCTGTCCCTGCTCCCCACCCCCTGGATACTGCAGTTTCCCTCCCTCTTTGGTGGCCTCCATGGGATGTAGCAAAATCTCCAGGAGGTGGAACCTTTTATCTTCAAAGTGCTTTCATACCCACTGAACCTCCTTCAAAGGTGGGCAAGGAATATTATGCCCATTTGACAGATTAATAAAATGGGGCCTCAAAGAGGACCCAGGGAAGTCTGTGACAGCAGGATAAGGACTCACCCTCATGTGTCCCTTTTGTCCAAATGCACGGAAGGCATGTTCAATGATGCACTTTTCCCTCTTGGATGACTTGTTTCCCAAGATCTGGAAAAGGGCTCTTAGAAGTAGCCCTTTGCTGGGGAGGTTGGGGTGGGTAACAATACTGGGCTGTGTTCTGTTCCCAGGGGGGCCCTTCTGTGCTTGCAGGGGAGCGGGTAACTTTGGGTACAGTAAAGCCTCAATGCTTCAGACCAGTTAGAAGCCCTTCAGCATCATGGCGATGTCTGAACTGCTTACTAGTAAGAACGTATCTCGAGCCCAACTAACCATCACCAAAGCAGTCTAAGGTTGAAATCCCCTGGCCTTGACTTAACAGCTTCACTGTGGAATTAGCACCGCCACCCTCTGAGCTTGGAAACAATGCTCTGGTTCCCTCCTGTGTGCGGGTTAAGCCTGTCCCCCGGTGAGGTCCGTGCTCAGCCGGTGCTTTCATGTGGAATCGCAGTCTGGCTGAAGGAGGCTTTACTATACCTTGGCTAGACTAGTGACTAGTGTGTAGTGCGTAGCCTGGGGGTTGACTGACTCATTCTGATTGCCAGGGTTGACCTCTGCCCCATGCCCCTGCCCCCTGGCTCCTTTGCAGAGTGCGGTTACGATCTGATGGAGCAGCCATTCCCAGGCGCCGAAGCGGGGGCGACACACACAGCCCACCCCGGGGCCTGGGCCCCAGCATAGACACGCCGCCCCGGGCTGCCGCCTGCCCCAGCAGCCCCCACAAAATCCCCCTCACCCGGGGCAGGATCGAGAGCCCCGAGAAGCGGAGGATGGCGACGTTCGGGAGCGCTGGCAGCATCAACTACTCTGACAAGAAGGCGCTCTCAGAAGGGCACTCCATGAGGTCGACGTGCGGCTCCACCAGGCACAGCAGCCTGGGGGACCACAAGTCCCTGGAGGCCGAGGCCCTGGCAGAAGTAAGGGCCATCAGGAATGCAGGCCGGGCCAGTGGAGACCCCCAGAGGGGGAGCAGGGTGGGAACTTGTGGACTGGGGGACCACTTTGCCCTTAATGCCAGGCTTAAGGCTAAGCCAGAACACAAGATAGATAGGGAGCTGGCTTCCCACCTGCCTGCTGGCCTCCCCATGGGAGTGGAAGTTGGATGGGTGCTGCTGCTGGCTAGGGTTCCTGTGAAGACTGAAGAGCCCCCCTTAATCTTCAGGAATGGAGGGGGAATTCCTGTCTAAGGGAAAGGCTGGAAGCTGGAGATGTAGGAATGGCAGGTGATTCCGTGAGAAGGCATAGCTGAGTTATTCATTCATTCATTCATCTATCTGTTCATTCATTTCATTTCATTCATTGACTCATATTGATTGAGCACCTGCTGTGTGACAATCACTGGGCTAGGCACTGAGAGTACAATGATGACCTAGAATGGACCCAGGCCCTGCCCAATTTAGAGAAGAAAGAGACATCAACCAATAACACAGCTGTGAAATGGCAGTTGGGCCAGGTTCTTTGAAAGAGTGGTATGTGATATTTTGAGAGCCTAAAATGTAGGGATTGCTCAGAGGGGGAGAGACTTCTTGGGGGGTCTTCTATGACCTGAGATACAGAGGATAGGGGGAATAAATGGCTGACACTGGGGTGGGGGATGGAGATACGACCCGATATACAGAGGTTAGGTGGAATAAACAGCTGACGCTGGAAGGGAAGATGCAGCCAGAACCTTCTTGGCTGTGAGAATTGCTCCTTAGAGAGTGGTATTTGAATCCCTGGTACAAGGGGAAGGGGAAAGTTGTGGGTTTGGGGGCTGTGCTCTAAAGGAGACCAGGAAAGTTTCCCCGGGGAAAACCAATGCAGAAACAACTCATCCAGCAGCTAGAACTCCTGCTCACACCCACAGGGCCTAGCTGGGCCCCGTGTCCTGATGCCCACTCCCGAGGGACACCTGAAGATCAGCACCTTGGCATGGTCCCGCAGAGGAAGACCTGCTTGTCCTTCCATCCTTGAAGGCTGTCCCCTTGGGGAGCATCACCCTAGCATCCACCATTACCCGAAGCTCTAGTAAGAGCCAGGATGCCACTCCCCAAGGCCCAGAGCCCTTAACATAAACAATCAAATGCAGTGCAGTCTAGGCCAGTGTTTCCAAAAGTAGCTCCCACAGCAGACTAGTTCACAGGATGTTAATGGGGGGAGAGGGGAAATGTGTTTTGTTGTCAACCAACTTTGGGAAATTCCTGTTTGACAAAGTTGAATGCCTTGTCTACAAGATTTCTTAGAACCTTTAAGTATGTTGAAGTATGTGTATTATGAATCTCCAAAAAGAGAAGAGGGCACACCCAGACTTCTTTGAGCTTTATTCACAGCACATTCATAAGACAAGCCTAAAGAATGAACACACTTGGGAAATGCTTTATGCATTTTTCTCCCTTTGTAAACATACCTACACATTCTCTAATTTGATAACTGCCATTCAAAAGCTCCTTTCATGGACAGAGGTGAAATGGGAAAGCATGGTAGATAATATGTAAATAGCCAAGAGGGGCACTAGATGGCCTCCAGCCTGCTGAGCATTGGCGCTGCCTTCTCAGACTACAAAAAGGAGCTGTGGCAAGGAAATACCAAGTGGTCGATGGAGCTACTAGAAATTCTCTGGTCTCAAAATACCCTTTAGGACTTAGATTTGAACCCAGTGAAGAGGCTGTTTGCGGAACTTGCTACACTGCCATCCAAAGTGGAAAGATGTAATTTGTGAGGAGCTGAAAAGTACTCCTTTCCTATCCCACCCCCTGGAAGTCCATCACCCGCCAGCACCTCTCTGCAGCTCCTCTCTGGAGATTATGGCTCACCCCTCAGACTAATGCCAGGCTCCTGCCTAAATTACTCAGCTGATCTTTCTCTGAGCTTTCTGTCTTTCTGGCTCACACTCTGCCAGGGTAGAGTGGTAGTGATGGGAGGGATGGTGGTGGAGGGGCGATAATTGCACCTTATTTATTGAAGTTTTACCTTTCAGCTCACACTGGAGCAGAGCAAACAAAGAGTAGTGAAGTTCATAGAGGAGTTAATTTAAGCAGAGTGGCATGTTGAAAGTAGACTTTATTCCTGCAGGGTTGGGAGAAGGCAAAGATGGGGAGAGACTGCCCTCTCTCCCCTCATGCAGAAAATCCCGCACAGCTAATCCTGTAGGTAAAGGCCCAAAGGCCCCTTCTTAAAGGAGCCAGTATTATGGGGAAGCCTAAAAGCTAATATTAGCTTTATGTTAATACTAGAGGCCCAGTGCACGGATTCGTGCAACATTGGGCTCCCTCAGCCTGGTCTGTACCCTCTCGCAATCCAGGACCCCTCGGGGGATGTCGGAGACCTGGTTTTGGCCCGATCTCCGCAGGCAAGGTCGAGGGACCCACTGGGGCATGAATCCATGCACTTGGCCTCTAGTATGCATATAAGATCTCTCATTAATCTCTTCCCAACTCCCCCTCTTCCCTCTGAGATTCATCAGTCTGTTCCATGTTTCCATGCTTGTGCATTGAGCGTCTGCACCCTGGTGGTCATTGCGTGTCATAGCTACTGGCTGGTCAGCCAGTTGCTTAGGCTTTTATATATATAGACTAGAGGCCTGGTGCACGAATTCATGCACCAGTAGGGTCCCTCGGCCTGGCCTGCAGGATCAGGCTGAAACTGGCTCTCTGACATCCCCTGAGGGGTCCTGGATTGCAAGAGGGTGCAGGCCAGGCCGAGGGACCCCACTAGTACACGATTGGGGCTGGGGAAGGATGCAGGAGGTTGGCCAGCTGGGAAGGGACCACGGGAGGGCTCCAGGGTGTGTCTGGCCCATCTCGCTCAGTCCCAATTGGCTGGACCCCAGCAGCAAGCTAACTTACTGGCTGGAGCAGCTGCCCCCTGGTGGTCAGTGCACGTCATAGCGACTGGTCGACCGATTGATTCTGCCCCCTGGTGGTCAGTGCACATCATAGCGAGCAGTTGAGCCTTAGCAACTTACTGGCTGGAGCAGCTGCCCCCTGGTGGTCAGTGCACGTCATAGCGACTGGTCGACCGATTGATTCTGCCCCCTGGTGGTCAGTGCACATCATAGCGAGCAGTTGAGCAGCCTTAGCATATCAATAGCATATTACGCTTTAATTGGTTGAACAGCTGACCAGTCGACCAGACACTTAGCATATTAGGTAGGCTTTTATTATATAGGATTAGCTAATTAGCCATTAGCTAGTTATCAATAGCTCTTAACAGATCCTAAAAAAGATGGCTGGGACCTTGATTGTGGCCAGACTGGAGGTTGTCATAGGAGCCCAGGACAGGCATTAGGCCACCTGCTAATGGGAGGAAAGGTGGAGGTAAAAGAAGTGGGTATGGAGAGGGGCAGCCAGGACATCCCCAGGCTCCAACCCCATTAGTCTGACCAGACCTGTAGATTTTCCAGATTTGCCCCTGGGCAGAAAAGCAGTGAGTCTTAATAGTCATTACTGAGGCTGTGCACAGACCTTCCAACAGTGGTTTTAAGCAGTATCCTTAATTGTCCCTTCAGTGGCCCAGTCCGTGGTGCTCTGGTCCCGCTCAGCCTGAGCAGCTCCTCTCATGTGCTTAATGTGAACCAAGGACTCTGGCTAAAGGGACTTTAAAAACCACTGTCTGGCAGTTTACAAAGCTTCATCACATCCATTATCTCATTCCATCTTCACAATAAACTTGTGGGCTTTCAACAGATGAACAAAGTATGGTGCTGAGCAACTGAGACTTGCAAGTGGCAAAGGAGTCTTTGCTCAAAAGTCCTAGCCTAGGGCTCCGAAGTTAAATGCTGACTTCCAGCTCCAGCACCCCCTACTGGCTGGAAGGGGAACAGAGGCCTTGGAAGAGGTAGGGATGAGCTAGCCATGACCTCACTCTGTGTCATTCAGAGCACTCGCATCCATATGAGCTTAAATATTAAAACTTCCCAGGAAATTACATAGGCAGATACAGATTTTTGTTGCTTTATAAGACCTCCATTTTAAAAAAATCAAAAGTTCCTGATTATAACAGAGAAGAACGTAACAGTCCCATCACTTTGAGGTGAACATTCTGATATTTAACCTCCAAGGAATTTTTCTATGGGCAAGGATTGTTTAAAATAATAATAATAATGGTTAGTGGCGTGGACTTCGGAGACAGACAACCTGGGTTGAGACTTAGACTGTGCTACTAAGTAGCTGTGTGACCTTGGGCAAGTTACTTAACCAGCCTGAGCTTCCCCATCCTCCTGTGTGCAATGAGCTTAACGGTAGTTCCTACCTGATACGTGTGGGGATGGACTGAATTATTCGGGGCAGGGCTTGGCTTGGTGCTTTGTGCGAGCTTAATGTGTGCCAGGGGTCAGGCCTTGCTCTTCACAGGGACCATATCATTTCATACTCACCCAGCCCCGAGGTCTGTCTTCTAATGATCTGTAATCTGAGGCCCAGGGAGCTGAGGTGACTTGTCCAGGTCATGCAGCAAAGAAGTGGCAGAGCCAGAATTTGAACCCATGTCTGTCTGGCTGCAGAGCTTGCCTTTCTTAGCCAGCAGTCTGACTTGCCCTCACTGTCAGCTCCCTGTTCAGGAAGTGTGCGGGCCACCACTGTGTGGGTTCCCCAACTGGCGACACCCTGGGGATTCAGTCTCCACCCCAGCCATTGGCCCCTGGGGCAACCTCCCTCAGACGCCCCCACGCTGCCCAGGAAGGGTGCTGACCAGAGCTCTCTCTGCCCCCAGGACATAGAGAAGACCATGAGCACGGCTCTACACGAGTTGCGGGAACTCGAGAGGCAGAACACAGCCAAGCAGGCGCCAGACGTGGTGCTGGACACCCTGGAGCCCCTGAAGAACCCGCCCGGCCCGGTCAGCTCGGAGCCCGCCAGCCCATTGCACACCATCGTCATCCGTGACCCCGACGCCGCCGTGCGCCGAGGCTGCAGCTGCTCCCC